AGAACATAACATATGTTGCTCAATCTGTCGACCTTATTAACAACAACAACTGTCTGGTGAGGGCAAAGGGCGAGTCTAACAAACAAACGGTGGCTTGAGAGATTTTCACCGCAGTGCTCGGTGAACCCGAAAACTCACATGAAGGACACACGCTCGTTTGCGTCTGTCAGAGACAGACACGTCCCATAAACGAGATACACAATGCATCCTCCCGTGGAAACCGCACACAATTGGTCAGTTTTCCTTGAGACCAGCTCGGCGCATAGGCGTCCTTAAAATACCGCACAAAAGGCTTTCGAGGTTAAACGAAAATCGGTTTAGAGCTATTAAAGACGCGAGGACCGCACGTAATATGTATACCACTTATATGTATAAATATAACGCATGTATATATATTAATATATTATGTATAGTATACGATAAATATGTCATATATACAATATACATGATGTATACGCACGTACCTGTATATAAATGCATAATATAATAAATATCGAGAACAACGACGTATATAAACCACTCGATATATACACACTATTATAAACACAATATCGTCATGGTCGATTTTACTTCGTTAAATGCTTATAGCAGCGTGCTTAGACGCGACTTACGCGTATATTATAGATATTATTATTTTTTATCGTCCATGGAGTTTAGCAATTGACCGCATGACCGCCGCTGCAGCTTACTGCTGCAGTATATACATACGCGATACGCCACTGACATATAATGTTTCTTATATAATATAATATACGAACGTGCCTAGACCGATCGTAAATAATAATTAAACCGACTGTGCCCGATATATTTTATTGTTGCCTCCAGACCATCACCATTACAGCTGCTTAGCGTATTAACGCCTACGTCGTCATCGTATAAGTCCGCAGAAATTGCATTATTTTTTTCTATAAATTTATGATAAAGTCGCACTCGACTGTTTGAACCGAGAACTGATTAGTATTGAGTTGTATAGCTAGAGTTTTTGTGAGTGAATTACACCAGGTATCCAGTCACCGCTATAATAATATTATAACGTGTAGGTTAAATAACGCGGGAGATTATTATATTATTGTCCATTGCAAACAGCGTGAAATTTGTTCATTTCCTTATTATCTTTCGACTAAATGAATTGGCGAGTCTTAACGTATCCATTCATCACGCCAGCGTATTTTGTTTTTTAATTGGTTTACAGTTTAGTTGAGCCATTGCGATAGTTTTTTTTTCCAATCACTACAATATAGGTACTATCAAGAGTATAAGGACTGCAGTGTACAACATACCTACTTATTGAGATTTTTGCATCATTTTGTATGTGTACCTATATAGCTATAAAACATGCCACCCACTCAAACCTGGGAAGTAACATGACAAACAAGGCAGGTACCTACTAAATCTCCTTGAAAGAATATAGTGTGATCATAATATAGGTACTTCATAAATAATACAAAGTTTTATATTACCTATTAGTTAAGTATTTTTTTTCCCAACATAAATCAAAATCATATCGAGTCAAAATAAAAATATAAATCAATCGGCTATATACGATTTACGGTAAAAATTAATCACTACCCAATACCCATATAGAGCGACTCATGGTTTAATTCGCAAATGGAAAACTAAGATCGAATTTCATAGCAGAGGTAAAAAAGGATCACAAAAAAGTATCAGATTTCGGGTTCAAACAATAATAATAATAATATGTAAGAACTAACACCGGACTAAGATAATAGAAACCATGCATTAAAAATCGAAATATTTTGTACCTATATATAGTATATACGTACAGATATTTCAGTACCTATATGTAATAGGATGTGCAGATATTTTGAAAAAAAAAAACATACATTATCTTTGTCGAGTTTGACCTTTTGGCCGAGGTCGGTTTTCGAACTCGAGATGGTTAATTGCATTTTTTTTCAGTCGATAGCCATTGCAGCCGCAGCGCATCTTCATCGCCTATCGCCTGCGTATATTGTGTAAATCGTGCGGCTGCGATTTCAACTATAGGTGTCATCGGTCCCAAGGCTAATTATTAGCGACGACGATAAGACAGATTGATTAATTAAAAACTACCGTTTGCATATATATATGTATAATACATCAGTGTGATTGGTGTGTATAGACTATTATTGTGTATGTAATACGTATACACAATGGTCGAACGCGTGAAGAGAGGAAATATTCTGCTGAGGTCTTGTATACTGCCACGGCAGAGTGCCGGTACGTCCATTGTTCGCGAGTTCGACGCACTCAGAACTATGATGATACGCGACATAGGTATAGGTATACATTATATATACAGTATTATAATACAGCTCCGACGAACGATCGATATTATTGCCGGGGGTACTCGATTTGGAATATCGGAAGAATTTCACTACTGCAGACGCGCAGTCACATGTAGGTATAATGTGTATATAAAGCATTATTACTATCATCATCATCAAATCTATATTATTATTATTATATTATAGTGTTATTTGTGGATGTGTATTCTTATGGGATCATCTCTAGATATGTTGTGCCACGCAAACGACTGCTCGGACGTTTCATGCTCGTGGCGCGCATGGTAACCGTTAGCTATTGCCTATTATACCTACACGTAGATGAGGTTTCCGACGTCACGTCTTACGCTGGAGATGCATAGGAAATGTCGGGAAAGCGAACAGAGTATAAATGAAAAAAAAAAAGAGGAAAACCGACCGGATTTGTTGTATAGGCGACTGGGATTTTCGAAACGTCCTTGTAAAACGAAATCGTAAAATACAATTTGTGAAAACCGCCCGACAGATCCGACGCATTAACAGCCGCACACGTGTGATGTGTGCGCTTGTCCCTTAATCCCTCAGTCCACGTGACCACGCACAGTGTTTTAACACGGTTTGCACTGAGTATAAAAAGGTATTTTTCACTACTTAATATTATGGCATTAAATGTTTAGGCGCATGCACGTAATAATAATTTATGTCAACTCGGGCCGTAATGATATTATATTATGTACCGGCGCGGAGTCGCACGTGTCACCCAGCCGGTGTCCGCTCTGATCCGAAAGCATCCGCTAGCTTTAGATTTTTGGTTATTTATAACCGCTATCATTGCGGCGAGCGCCTAATATTGTTATCATCATCGCAGCGGTAATATACTAATAAGTACATAAAAAATGGATTTATCCGTTGCATTAAAATAATAGTAATTTGTAACGCCCCCGTCGCGCCAAACAACCGCCGACGTAGGTATATAATGAAAATAATAATACAGTGCTATATAGTATAATATACCTTATACTTAAACACTGCGCACAGACACACACACGTGACTGCAGACCGTAATAAGGTTTTATTGTTTCGAGACGACCAAGATTACTTAGCGTGAACCCGTCGCCAATACGGACATCCGGAGCCGGAGGGATTAGCCGGGCCCGGGCGCATGTTGAGCGTGGCGTTGGTCGTTTCTTATTGGATGGAGTCGGTCCAGCGCGTGCGCGCCAGAAATGTTTATAACAACAGCGAAGATAATAAATAATAATAATTATGAGATGGTAGAAACGTGTAATAATATTATACATATTTTATACAGTCTTCGTCGTCGTACACCTTTACGGTCGACTGCCGAGGCGTTATGGGTTAGATGCAGCTCGTAATATTATTAACAACTGCAATATTATTACCTCCGGTGTAGCCGGTGTGGGTACCTGAGGAATACGCGAAACGTTTCATTCCATCCGTTCACGTGCAGTTTGATTTGGTCATCTGATTTTATTGTAATTATCTTATTCTGCTTAGACTCAGGTATATTTCGTTATAAACTTGTAAATAATTAAATTTTTCGGTCTTTTGATTTTTGCAGTTGCAGGAAAATATCTCGAAATATTTCATGAAGTACATCAACGCCAAGAAACCTTGATAACTACAAGATAATAACTACAGTTATAAATAATATACAAAAGTATAAAACTATTTATTATCTATAAATCAATCAAAACACATCTCAGAATTATTTTTCGTATGTCCCACATTTTCTGTCACCGGTCTGATATAGATTTCGTCAGTGTTCGTCCTGTATACGCAGACTGTCCTAACTGTCAACTGAACACGTCATCAGGATTATTGTCATCATCGTTATAGTCCGAAAATTGATTGTTTATGCCACTCAAAAATTAAACTGCGCTAATGCGGTCACGGCAGTTGTTTCAGCAACAACAGCAGCAGCAGCTTCGCGTGACATACAACGTGACTCGGGGTGACGCGGGTACTTCCCACGACTATTCGTTAGCGCGACGGAAGGGCAGTAGTTAGGGAAAGTGATAAAGAGAGCGGGGCGGACGCAAAGAGGGAGCGAATACGGTATATTAATTACGGAAATTGATATTTTAAACCGGAACATGACAGGTGGCCATCATCCTCACCGCTCATCCAAACAATATAATATAAAAAAACACGAGTATGATGTGGTGGTGGAAGAAAGAAAAATGAGTAAGGATAAACCTCCCCCGATAATAGGGTTGCCATACGTCCCGGTTTTGCCGGGACACTACCGGTTTTTAACCAAGTGTCCCGGTGTCCCGAGAAAGTGTTTCGGGACAGCGATTTGTCCCGGTTTCAAAATTTTACTAGATAAAATACCAATTTTAAATTATAAAAAACATTGTCTTCCTACACATGATAAAATACAAGAATATACGAGTACACGCGATAATTATAAGTATTTTATTTTTAGACTTTGTATGGTAAAACCCAAAATGTATTACCGCGATAATCATAAACTTAATGGTTTTTATTAAAACCACTACGCCACTACAGTAATAATGTTATCTACTTCAGAGTGTAGTAGTTTCATTTTAATGTTCAGTATCGTTCTACGCGTTAGTTCTTAGTTCACGCCGTGTCGCCGTCTGGCTGTCAAATATAGATTGCCGAATTCCGTTCGTGGAAAATAACTTTAATATTTACTTTGTTCTGGTTAAAATAATTGGTGTGAGCTATTTTTCTCGTGACGACATAATGGCACCAACACGAAGTGGTAAACGGTTATGTAGATTTACAGAAAAATTGCAAAGTGAATTCACGTTTTTGAAAAAAGTTCGTAACGATAACGATTATGATGTGTACTGCACAATTTGTTCGAGTTCATTTTCCGTCAGTCATGGAGGTCGGGCAGATATAACTGATCATTTAAAAAGAAATAAACATAAAACGGCGAAACAAGCGGCTACATCCAGTTCAGTCAGTAATTATTTTACACCTTTAAAAGCAGATGATAACACATTAAAACTTGCAGCAAAAGAGGTAACTTTTGTATACCATACAATTTCGCATTCTCAGAGTTTTAATTCAATGACGTGTACATCAACTTTAATTCGTAAGCTGTTTGACGAAAAAAAATTCACAGCTGCTCGAACTAAAACTCGAGAAGTTGCTGTAAATGTGATTGCTCCTTTTGCTGTTCAGTTAACGATAGACGATATAAAAAAAGTTAACTTTGTATCTATTTTAGTTGATGCTTCTAACCATAAAGCTATTAAATTAGTACCAGTAATTGTGCGTTATTTTTCAACTACCACTGGAGTAAAAAATAACATTTTAGAGTTTTCTAATTTACCCGGAGAAACTGCTGACATAATTTATAACCAAATTATTAAAGTTTTAAATAATTTTAATTTAAAAGAAAAAATCATCAGTTATTCTGCCGACAATACTAATACCAATTTTGGCGGTCTCCAAAGAAAAGGAAAAAATAATGTTTTTACAAAATTAAAAGAAACCCTAAACAGAGATATTTTAGGAATGGGTTGTTACGCACATATTATTCATAACAGTATTCAATGTGCTTCAGATTGTTTGCCAATTGATGTTGAGAGTATAGTATGCAAAATTTTTAGTTTTTTCCATATTTACACAGTTCGTGTTGAAAATCTGAAAGAATTTTGCGATTTTGCTGACGTCCAGTACAAAGATTTACTCTCTCATTCAAAAACAAGGTGGCTTTCTCTTTTTCCTGCTATTGAACGCATCATATCAATTTTTGATGGTTTGAAATCATATTTTCTGTCTCAAAACAATTGTCCAAATGCTCTCAAAATTTTTTTTGAAAATGAAAGTGCTTTGTTATGGCTTAAGTTTTTGTGTAGTCAGTTAAAAACTATAAACTCGTTTATAAAGAAAGTTGAAAGTCAAAAATTATCTGCGATTGAATTAATGATTATTATGGAAGACCTTATGGAGAAAATTGAAAACAAAAGAAAGGATCGGTTTCTCACGGTAGAAATTGAAAATCTCGTAACAAAACTCGAGGACGAAGGACTTATCAATAGAACTAATTTTGAAAGCAAATGTGACGAATTTTATGTACTTTGTTACAACTATTTAAAAAAATGGAACAATTCAAATCAACATGTAAATAATTTAAAATCAATGTTATGGATAACATTAGCCCCAAAGACAATAGTAAATTGGGAAAATGTCAAAAAATCAGTAATCTTTATAAAAACTATAATGTCAAATAATGTTAATTTTGATGAAGAAATGTTTTTTGAACAATTTAAAGTTTTTGAAAAAATTTTTCATCAACAAAATGACGAGTGGCATTGTCAAGAAATAGAAAATAAATGGATATATATTTTCAAAATATTCACCGATAATAATCATGCATTTTTTGAGCTATTAAAAGTTGTTGAATTTAGTTTTGTTTTACCGGGTTCAAATGCAGCTGTGGAACGTGTTTTTTCACTGATGAACAGCACATGGACAAATTCAAGAAACAAACTTGATATAAAAACGGTAGAAGCTTCTCTTATTATAAAAACGTGCTTCAATAATACATCTTGTGAAGAATTCTACGACCAAATTTTGGGAAACAAGTCTTTATTAAAACAAGTTCATGGATCAGCCAAATATGTAGTAAAATCAACAGAAAAAACCCTGGACTCCGAAGGTTCCGAAGACTAATAATATGAATTATTATTATTATTATAATTATATTACTTGTATACAAAATTCATAAGAAAAAATTTATATACCTATATATATGTAAAAAAGTAAATATTATTTTATTATAATTTATATATATTATTTTTTTTTTTTAATTTATTAATTTATATATTATATAATATTTATCCATTCAAAATGTCCCGGGTTCCAAAAAATATAATCTGGTAACCCTACCCGATAACCAAGTATATATAGCCATATAGGTATAATAATAATAATCATAATAATATAATAGTAGTGTAATAAAGCGCAGGATATCCATAGGAAACGATGAAGGCTATCGGAAATCGACGGTTGTCACCGTTGCCACGAATTGCACTGGGCACGAATTATTAGTACCTATTATAATAATTTTTACCGAGGTCAGTTGTAGATTCGTTTAATGCTTTCCCGTGCGTGCATAATAATGGTGTAAATTTTTGGTTCAGTATAATATTATTTGCGAGTGTACAATCTATATTTATATAATATATTGCCGTTAAAATATACATACGCACGAATTCGGATGTAATATTTCATTATAATGGCGTAGCGATGTGGCGTGTTGCCGAGAACTCAGTTTGAGAACTCAGTCAATCTTCGTAGAAAAATATTTATCATATTATATATTATATAGATTACAAATAATCGAAGACAACAACACGCGTACAGTATGGTATAATATTTATGTGAATTATTATAATATTATGTCCGTACTACACTACTACCAGTACTACCACAGAACACCACTTATACAGCGCAACAACTACCGTCGGGAAAATACGATGGTAGTGATGAGTATAACTTACCTATATAATATTATAATACATCATAATGAGATGGAGCACAGACGAAATGAGTACTTACGTATATTATAATATAATGTTATCAATTATCATTATTGTTATTTTTATATTATATCTTGTAATCGGACGGGCGCTGTTATTTTTGATATGCCATATGCATATTATTTATAATTTATTTAAGCGCGTGTGGCGGGTGAATATGGCGCACACCTGTTGTACGTTTGCACAACGCGCGAATACCAGTTTAGCTCAGGCGTGAATGCGTGATATATATTATAATATTTATATTCAAATAAGGGAAGGTATGTAAAGGCGATTAGCGTCATCACCCCCCCCCCCCCCCAACTAAGTACCTATATAATATATATTATGTACCCTTCATATAAAGGGTACGAAGCGGGTGAAATGATTATTGTGACGTCATCCGCGCACGCCGCACCGAGTGTAACATAATTATTATATCACGGCACACCGGTTAAATCAGATAATGATATATTATATTATATTATTATAAATCATAATCTTTATTACTATATATTATTATGGAACAGCTGAGAGCAACCGGTCGAATTTTATACGCCACCGCGATTTTGGAACGATTATTTTATACATCATAATCGCTATATCATATGATATCGTATTCGTATGTAATATATATTTATTATAGATTTAATGTGGAAAAAACATTTATTATATTATTATTCCACTGCACCGCATCCGTCAATCACAAGTACGATCATACCATACATAATATACCACTGAGGAGGGCTGAGTTTTTTCTATAGTACTTTTCCTTTGTGGTCGTCCGCATTACGGACGTGGGTGAACGACGTTTAATCGATCCACATAAAACGAATAATAATTAATTGTAATAATATTATACCGCGTGATGTGAAATCGGTCGGAGAGATGAACAAAAGTTTCAGCCCAGCACGCGTAGTGAAATGTAATATTTTTAATTATTTTTTTCTTAGAGGTTTTTTTAACATCCACGCACTTGACATTTGACAATAATACGCCGCTTTCGTGTTGCAACGTAAGTAATTTACTAATAATATATTATATCGGGTAAGTACAGTTAATGCCGTGGCATAGGTACGTTTATTTTTAATTTTCATACATAAAAATGTGGTAATGTTTTTTACTCGACCGCGCCGCGTGTACCTAATGATCCGAGGTCCGGTTACAATACAATATGGTTATAGGCTCCGATGACGTTTCGCACAAACGCAAATCCGTCGAAATCGCTACATCCGACATTATATAATAAAATATAGTACTGTAAGTAATAAGTGCACGCTGTGATTGTGCAAGCACCGAGGTGTATTATATAAAAGGTATAGGTTTATTATGTACGAGTATAATAAGAGTACTGAGTAATGTTAGGTCAACCTCGGCGTACGCGTAAAATATTATACTTGTGTCGCCTAATAATATCAATATATATAGGTAAGTATATATTATAAAACTGTTTACGTTTGCACTTTAATCGTGTTATTTTATTGTATTATTATAATATGCACTGCTAAACGAAATAAGCGTAAATCGAAGTTATTTTTATCGTTCGTTTACACAAGCGATTTTGACGGGTTGGTTTTATTCTTTAACGACTCTGTTCTGGCTTGATCGACTCACTATAGTCACTTGACGACGGTTTTTCTTGGAACCTTTCTCACGCGTCGTTGTTTTTTCCACCCTAATTGCAATTATTATTAAAAAGTCATTTTTTGAAGAAAAATAAAGATCTCTAAACCAGAACATTTATATACCTTATAATATAGACGTTTAGTAGTAAGTGTACAATGTGCACGGTGAACAAAGTTGGTTGTTGAAGTTTTGACAGAATTTTTCGAGTATACTTATATACACAACACGCCAAGATAAATTCAAAGCATTAAAAAAGCTAACGTTTCTTGGAGAAAAATGATTACAAAGTTGAATGAGAATATTATATACATAATGTGAGTCTAAAACATCACGGTACATATCACGCTATGATAAATTGTCATAAACAAAAAGTTTTGAGACAAGTCTAGTAAATAAATTGAAGTAAAACTGTTACGTAAAAATGTATGCAAAATAATATATTTGTTTATTGCTTTAATATTCGTATAAGAATATAAATTACTTTAATAACTTAAAGTAAAGTGTATCATAATACTACGTATGAAGGTTATGCAAATATCTATAGTATTATAAATTCAAATTACCTAATATAAAATTATATGTTGAAATTAATTGAACTCATATTTAACTTTAAACTACTGTCTATTTCTACAAAATTAAACTATTAGTATTTAAATAATAATAATAAATTTAAAATTATATTTAAATACAACATCAAATTCGTATTTATTAAGTTCCAATATTTAATAAAATTAATTATATTGTATTAGAACCAATAAAAGTAAATATAAATTATAAATAAGTAAAAAGAATTTAAAAAAATATTATGATACCTACTTTATGCATGGGTATAATTATGAATTAATCAATATTATGATATTGAAAAAAAAAACACTTTTATATTATAGAATAGGTAATTAACTGGTTTCATATTTTAAGATCTTAATTTACCTATATATGCTTTAGAAATATCCAGGTTGACTAGCCCCATTATTTGTTTATTTGTATAAGTCTGGTTTACTTCGTAATTAATTTGGATGAGATAATCAATTGTACTTTTGAAAAAAAAAACGGCATTGTTGCATTGATAAGTATAGAGTGTTATTTTAATATCCAAGTTAGTTTATAATTTATAATTTTCTTAAATATTGTGCACATAATGTTGAAATTGAAAATGAGTAGTACAAGTTGAACATTTATTTTATTAATTGAAAGTCAAATGTAAAATTATATTTTGCATATTTTGAGATCTTCAGGTTTTAGTGCTAGTATGTGTTATTATATTTTATTACTTATTACTAGTTATTAATTATTTGTAATACCATGTATGAATGTGATATATTATCATAGTTTTATAATAAATTCATTTCCTTAGACAGTTTTTAAATTGTGCATATCAGACTATTTAAAATCGTAACTTTAGCATTAATTAATTTTAAATATTACGATACCAAACCTTGTTTTTAAATTTTTTAAATAATACATTTCAAAATATTTATTTTATTTTACAGCCTTGGACTTTGATAATATTGTAGGTACTAATATTAATAGTATTTTATATTATAAATTGGCACGTAAGCATGTTGTATAATGTTATAAGAAAATAAAACTATAGATTTTGAATAATAAAAAAAATATGCAAAGTTCTATATATAGAAACTAGTTTTCGTTGCAGCACAACACTATTTTAACGTGTATTATTTTACAGCCAAAAAAAAAAAAAAAAAAATACTTATTATAACGTTATAATGTCTTTTTAGCCGGTTGGAAAAATATAAATTATATTACGTGAACATGATAAGCGTTCAGTTTTAACTTTTAACCGAAGGGCGAAGAGTGTCGCGTAATGTAAAACGCATGTTATAATTAAATTATATTATGTGTAATAGAGACTAGAGTGAGATATATAATATTCTACATGTACGTCGTCGAGCCACATCTAAAATGTATACTTCCGCGAAAGATCCGCCCAGTTTGCTGCCAGATATTGAACCAGAGTTGTGTAATCATATAGACGTACCTGTGTCTGTCCAGGGAGTACGAGTCCTTGCGGCCGCCCGTAGAAAATTTCATCGAACCAAATTTAACGAAGTCGAGTTAATCACAAATTCAAAACGTCACATCGGTCACACTTGCAATATGATATTATTAATATTATTATTCACACTACCGTCGGGATGGTTCGATTACGATCTACATGTCGGACAATATTATAACACACACTGACAAATGTCAAGAAGACACGAGCACGGTCGAAGGAGACGATCTACGAACACCGTAAAAAAAAAATTGTAATAACGAAAATATTATTACAATGACACAATTTATAATGACGTTACGTTTGGTATCGTCGCGGCGTGTATGCTATGCGCGCGCGCATCATCCGCATGCACCGAACAACGTGTTCGCACTGTCAATCCCGGGCGGACGCAGCGGCAGGTCCCGCACAATACGAATGCAACGCGCACGGATTTCCGAAAGAGGGGAACCGACTACAATGTTTTACGGTATTAATATAACCGCGGTGGTGTAGGTACCGACGCATCG